TGTGTGTGTGTGTGTGTGTGTGTGTGTGTGTGTGTGTGTGGAGACATTTGAGGATTGCAGACAGCAGCCCAACTGCACTGCTGTGGTAGAACACACTGTTACTAACCACAGACACAGGAAAGCCTAAAACTCAGCACATCCCAAAAGAACAAGCATGTGACAGAGAGAGAAACACTTACTATGAGAGCAGAATCTCGGCCCATGGAGATCACAGTCCTGTTTACCGTCCTCAGCAGCTTCTCCATTATGATCTGAACGTGCCACTGCGTCGGGCCCTAAAACCACACAGAAATACACCACTAATAAATGATTTATCCACATAAGACAACATTTTCCGAACAAACAGTGACAAACACCGTTTCAGTGGCCTTAATTAGTCTAAAAAAAAAAATCAATCAATCATAAGTTTCTCACCATTTATCTGGAATTGCAGCATAATACATAATTTATATCAAGCCGCATGAATGATAATCTTTAAAGAAAAAGATAATTAAATCTTTTTTTCTTTATTAAATTATGTCTATTTCAGACACTTTCATGCTGAACATGACCTTGTGTTTATAAAATAAACAATAGATTAGCCTTTAAATGTATTTTGTCTATTCAGTGACTTCCTCATTTGACAAGTTCTGTGAATTATCTAAATTTGAAATTTAGAAAATGACAAAAATTTACAAAATTCACACATTTATTAAAATTATTAAATTTTATCATTAAATAATGGTACATGCAAATATATGATTCATTTGATTTATCAGAATAGCATGTCATGATTTTTTTCACTTAAAAAAATCAATTTAAATAAATAAATAAATAAAATTTTCATGGCCGGTATGAAATATCTATGGGCAGTAAATTGTGTTTTCTACAAGGAAAAACATTTGGTGTAGAAACAATTCTCATTTCCAGTAAATTTCACAATTAATTGCAAAGAAACAGCAAGCTGTGTGTATATATGTGTGTGTTTGTTTGTTAGAGGCCATCCTGATACACTCACAGCAGATCGTCAATTATTACAAGCTTATACAAGCTTTTCCAAGGTCCTCCTCAAAGGATGCTGCTGATCTCCAACCACAGATGAGAGAGAGAGAGAGAGAGAGAGAGAGAGAGAGAGCTCTGCGCTAGACTGTGACGTGTTTATTACGTAACACACGCACACACTCAATTATCAAGCATACACACACACCCACTCGCACAAGGGTTCAAAGGATGCTTCACCCACAACACCAGGTAGTGAGGAAATCAGTGACGTACATACATGCGTGTGTAAAGCAGTGTTATTTTAGTATCTTCAAGATACTATTATAGTTTTTATTAATATTTGAATTAGTTCTTATTTTTGGATTTTCTTTTTAATTTAATGGGTTTTAGAGAGTTTGTTTTTTTTTCATTTTGTATGTCAGTTTTGCTATAAAAAAAAAAATTATATATATAGATAGTTGAAATATCTATTCATTACACCAAATACACAAAATAATGTTCTTTTTAGCAGCATCATATGACCCCTTTAAAATAATTTCTCATTTCAGTTTTAGTTATTTTAGTACATTTTGTTTTCATATTTTCAGCTTTTATTCAAATTTGCTAATTTTACTAATTTTGTTGTTTGTCATTTTTATTCGTTTTTTAATGTCTATAGCTTTTTCAGTTTTAGTTATTTTAGTATGTTATTTTTATATTCTCTACTTTCATTTTTTGTTAAAGTTTTAGTAATTTTGTTGTGTTTTTGACATTTTTATTAGTTGTTTTAATGTCTATATTTTTTGCATTAGTTTTTATCAGTTTTAGTTATTTTAGTACATTTTATTGTTATATTTCATGAATTTTTAATTTTAGTTAAAGTTCTAGTATTTTCGTTGTGTTGTCACTTTTATTAGTTTTTTTTTTTAACTAAGTCTATATAGTTTAGATTTTAGTCTATATAGTTTTCTATACAGTTTATATTCATTTTAGTTATTTTAGTACAGCAAGTTAAACTAAATGAAAATTAGTTTAGGTTTAGTTTATGCTTTTATATTTATTTATTTTAGTTTTTTATTTTACATTTAAGTTTATTTGATTTCAAGTAAAAAAAAATATTTTTTTAGTTTTAGTTTAGTACACAGAACTACAGTAAAGGTGAGAGTGTTTAATATGCAGTTTACAGTGCAGTATTTCATCACTCTATTATTCAAAACCACTCAATATACTTAAAAAACGTTATGCAAATGAGACTTTAAAAATGCACTTATTCTAAAAGTAGCGCTAAAGGACATTTCATTTAACAGAGACGTTATGGAAGTTTTCTATTGATCACGACGGCAGTAATTGATCAAATGACGGAGAAGAGAGCAGTGCATCTGGATATCTGCCCGGGTAAATTGCAGTCGAGCGCCATAGAAGCCAATTAACAGTCAGAACACGAGCCAAAAATTAATTAACCATAATTAAATGAACTCACATCTCTGAGTGGGTCACATACAGGTCATGAAAGATGAAGGATGTGACATGAGATAAACACACAGATTTGTCTTTCAGTGAACACTTTACAGTGAATACTCCACTTTAGGAGACTTTGCTTTTCCATTTTGGGGTGGAAAAAAAGGAGACCTGTTGCATCATGATAATTTATATAAAATAAAAGATTTGTAAATGCTGAATTAAAAAGAACAGATTATTTTTATTAAAAATTCTAAATAAATAAAACGTAGGTGACTAAGCAAATGCAAGTAAATGAGCATCAATGATTATAAAGACAATTTGTAATAAAAATAAAAATAATATAAAGTTGAAAATGCTGCATTTAAAAGAACAGAATTATTTTATTAAAAGTTCTAAAATTAAAAAAAGAACAAATAAATGAATAGAAAGACCTTTCTGAAAATGTGAAAATCTAAATCTTTTTAAAACAACAAAATCAAGTTAAAGCAAAACAAAAAAACTAAAGTGGTGACATGACATAAGAAATATTAAAGCTTCTTCGCTGTTTGTAGATGACTAACCAAACGTAAGTAAATGAATATTATTGATTATAATATGATCATCTTTAATAATTTAAAAAAAAAAAAAAAGTTGAAAGCGCTGAAGAAAACAATTTTTTATTCAAAATTCTAAATAAATAGAAAATGAACAAATACATGAGTAGATCATACTGAAAACGTGAAAATCTAAATCTTTTCAAAACCATAAAATCTAGTTTTAAATAAAAAAGTCAAAACAAATAAATGGTATAACATATTACTAACCAAATGTGAGTATAATGAGTGTCTTTGATTATAACAATAATTTGTTATAATAAAAGAATGTAAATAAAAATAGATGTGAACATGCTGAAATTAAAAGAACCAACTATATTTTATTAAAAAGACAAACAAACAAGTGTTTGTACTATGAATTGTCAAGGAACAAAATGGCCAAATATTTTCTGATTAAAAGGCCTCAACAAAATATCTCTATCCTTGCAGACTACAAACAGATCTCATCTCATCACACACACACACACACACCACTTGAAAGTGCAGATTGACATCTGCTCCATAACTACAGGGAAAGAAATCAAATGCCATAAAACAGGAAGTGGGCGTGGTACATAATCTGTCAATCAACATAGGAGGCGGGGTTTGGTGAGTCTGTGTGACAGCTGAATCAATGTAAATCTGTTTTTCTTCAATGAGGAGTCATTACTGGAGCAAACACACACAGAAACTCCCGCTAGCTTTCCTGAAAGCTCATTTATCATGCTGTTCAGGCCAGTTTAAACTCGTACAAATAAATCCACACTATCCTTTTACGGCCGCATGAACAATACGCTTATGCATTAAATAACTGACCTGCCCGTGAGCTTTGAGACGGCACTTTACCAGGCAGAATTAAAATCAGGGTCACAGCAGAATAAATCACAGCGTCTGACATCAGCAGTGAGCCGGGTTTCCTCAAATGAGTCCTGACTTCTGCTTTCCTTCATTTTACTCAAGAGACAAACTTTGCACAAGCTATTCCAGGACAGAAGTCTGAGATTCCCAGGACACGTCAACAAACACACAGCTACAAACAACAGCAATGAATGCGCAGCCATTTATTTCAATAGTTTTCTAGTAATCTAGATGGTAACGTTTACATTTAAAAAGTACCAAGCTGAAACCATGCATTTTTCAGAGAAACAAATAACCGCTGAATTTAAAGTTTTTACATTTATGTTTTCCATACTTTTTATGCGGAGTTATGTTAATAATCAATGCATATTATATGAATTGCTAGAGTATTTGATTCTGATCATGGTCATCTGTGGCCAAATATTTCCCACATTCTCTCTTTTCTTGCATAATAAAACAATTAAAACTGAAACTTCAATTGCTTGCTAATTATAATAATAATAATTATTATTATTATTATTTTTATTAATAATAATAATACTAATATATTTATTTATTTGTTTATATGAGGAAATATGTGGTAATAACCTGCACCATTATTTGCATGAGTTATCACTGTTGAATAGCGATCTATCATTGTGGCATGAAGGATTTTACATTTAATTCTCTAAAAATCACATGGAAATAAAATAAAAATATATAAACAAAAATACATGTATAAATAAAAATAAAACAGATACATAAATAAATGCATAAACACATTCAAATATAAATACATGTATAAATAAAAATAAAAACAAAATGAATTAATTAAATATAAATACAGTAAATATATAAATGAAAAAATAAATAAAACTAAAATAAATCCATAAATTAATTGAATATAAACAAATGCATATAAAAAATTAAATAAAACAAACCAATAAATAGTTAGTACAAAGACATGGTCGCTGTAAAGGAACTAAATGCAAAGATCAATCTGCAGGTTCATTTCAATTCAGGGTTGTCCAGGTCAGCACAATGAGTGGTGTATCTCTATCAGAAGAGCAGAGTTTCCCTTGTTATCTTCATAAAATGTAAAAGGAGAATCGCAGATGCTGTTTTCACACTCCTGTTCAGTCGGACAGAAGGTCAGTGAAAGTTTTTACAGCAGTGCATTTACAAACATTCAGATGAACACTGATGTTACTTTCATCGGCTGAAAACATTCATCTAGCCTCTGTGCATTTAGAGAGGGAAAAACAGGTTACAGGAGACACGGAGAGACTGATCCAAAGCTCAGTGAGCGGCTTTACTCAGACTGAAACATCGACTACAGAGCCACTGGCTCCTGTAATTAAAGGTTCACTTCTTTACATTAAATTAAAGAATCATTTGATAAAGATGGTCATTTAGAAGCACAGTCACCCTTGCTCACATTCAGTTGTGTGTCTGACTGTTGAGGATATACTGCAGTGACTGAAAATGCATATGGAGACGCATCCAATTCTGAAAATATTAGGTATCATAAGGAAGCTGGATTAAGCGCTCTACTGTTTGGAACGGCTTTCACACATGTGCAATGATGCCTTAAAATACCGTCTAGGTAGGAAGCTCAGACCAAGGCTAGAAAGTGAGAGAGACCAAAGAAAAGAGAGAAAAGCACTGGATCTACATCTTCAGCAGACTAAACTGAAATTGTAAAGCCAGGGGAAAAGTTTAATTTATGTTTCATCAGAGTTATTACTTATTACTTAAAATAAAATTAATAATATATAAATAAAAAAAATTAAAAAAAAATAATAATGCATGCATAAATAAATAAATGCTCAAATAAATAAATGTATGCATAAATGCATTAAAATTAATAAATACATGTATAAATACATTAATGTACAAGTGCATTAAAATAATATAAAATAAATAAATCCTTATATAAATGCATGAATAAGTGCAGAAATAAATGCATAAATATATATTAAAATAAATAAATAAAAGACTTTATGCTCTAAGTCAAAAGGCACAGTCATTGTGAACTGGATGACGATGAAACCAATCATCAGTCTGTGTTTACAGAAGTGAAAAGCATTTAATCACAGGCTTTATGGTTGTCCATGATTTCATATCGATGCGTGGCACCAATTTAAACACTGCATTTGACATTTTCTGAAGAAAATGTGAGTGGTGCTTGACCTTTGATCAGATCGGCAACCTCAAGAATGAGAGTTAGTAATAGTCACTCTCGCTCACCTTGGAAAACAACCATTAAAAATGCATATTAGCATGCTGTTGTAACCCTTGATATTTATATCCTGTTTCACTTCTTAGTCTCACTTCTTTAAAACTTAGTACTGCCCCTTTAAGAGGTTGGGTAGTTTATGCGGGGAGAGTGCACAGCAATAGCGCGCAGGGTGAATGTGCATGAAGCACGGACAAAACGCATAGCGTGTGAGTAATTTCGACTATGCTGATTAAAATAAGCATTTATATTGCAAATTGTCTTTGAATAGCTGGTTTATTGTTTATATGTCAGCTGGGAGGTTGAATTTGAAACACTGTGGAAGAGAAGTCGAAGACTTATTGCTTTCCGTGACTTTTCTGAGACATTCTGGTGAGTGTATTCTGCTTGTAACGAAATATTTTGTTGTCATATTGTGTTATTATTTGAGCAAAACCAGTCAGAATGTATTCATGTCAAAGAAAATGTGGTTAAATTGTTCATGTGGGTGTTGAAGATGAGAGCAGCTAAGTATAGCACCACGATACTAGTTTTGCTAGTCAAGGAGAGCACGAGGTGTGCAATGCTCATGCTTATTGTGTTTTTCACGTCGAGTGAAATTGCTAATGTATAAAATGTAACTCTGTTAAATTGATTTATGTAAAAGTGTATTGCTAGCTCTCAAATTGGAAAAAAGTGTTCAAAGCAGGTTTGCTTCATAAACTTTATTTCATAGGAGGAGGAAAAGGAAAATATGAGTTAAAAATACATGTGATCTCTCTTACAAGGAATGGTTTACATGTTCTGATGTTGTTGATGTAATCAATTTAAAATGTACATTTGTGCAGACTGTTTTTTTTTCCCTTGGACTGTTGTTCGGTGGTACATTTGGACCTGAATCATCTGAGTGGATTCCTCCGGAACAAATTCTCTTCATCATCTCATCGCACTCTGTCAACTCATCAGCTCTTCTTTCTTTCGTACTTGATTAACTGAATGGTATTCCCGGTGAAGTGGTAGGACTGAGATATATTTTTTATTTTTTTCCCACACATTACACGGGACTGAGATATTTTTTTGCACACACTACATGGGACTGAGACAGTTCTTTCCAAACTTGGATTTTCAAAAATCTATTTCCTTGGGTTACAATTGCATTGTTGTTATCTGTTATCAAGCTCAATTAATTGTTGGAGATTGAGTGTCATTCAATGTTAATCACTTTGGTTTTAAAGTGCCAGAACAAAGAGCATTTAAATTGATTGCCTCACAAAATACATTTCTGGCTAACTTAAATTCTTGTGTGTGGCATTATTTATTTTACTTTTTCATGTGATTTCAGTTGTTCATTTAAATTGAGAATTTGGTTTAAAAGGAAAAATACCCCAAAGCTCCTTGAACGAACTTAGACAATTGATATTTTCAATTAGATCACAAATCCCTGAAGTAAACCCTGGGATAAAGGGGGTTACACTGTCAAACAGAACTCAGAAATTAACTTCAGAATAACGCTCATTAGACAGAAACGAAAAGTGAAATCCTCTGGAAACACGTCATTTGCGCGAGTCAACGATCATGTGAGGTTTACATTAGCTAAATATGTTTAGAATAAATGGAAGTTGACAAATCTGTGCTGAAGTGCAATGAACCACACACACACACACGCATTGCTCAGAAAACAACAAGTGACACCAGCCACATTTGTTCAGGTTAGACAGGCCCATTTGTGGGTAATTTATTCCAGTGGATCTGTTGGCACTGGAAAGCGCGTGCTGGAGGAATCAGCGGCCGCAAACACACTCTGAGACGAGCCGCCCTTCAGCGAGATACGACAAAAAGATCTACAGCTCAACAACTTCTCAAATCTCATTTTTCCACTACTACTGGTGCCAAAAACACTGGCAGAGTTAGAAAGACCAGCAGCTGCTTTCAAAGCACTGCGACAGAGGTCTGAAGAAATGACAAACCCAGAAAAAAAAAAAATTCAGTCAGCTAAACTATTATTTAACCAGCTTACAAAAATAAGTTATATTATATTATATTAATTCACTGTACATGAGAACTCTTCCAAAAATGAGTAATAATTCACAAAAATAATATTCATTATAATTTAAACAATTAACGCTTGTGGAATATTTACCAAATAATCAGATTATTTGGAAATGAATCACATTTTTTATTGGTCTCATTCATTAAATCCTGATTTCTTTCTGTCGTTCCTTACGAGAGTGAGAGAGACTGAAGCGCATGAGACAGCGCAAGGACGCGTGATGAGTGATTTAATTAAATCAGAACAGGAGACACATCCACAGATAATTACTGCTGAATGACGTGCATCTACTTACAATCTACCCGCAGAGCTGCCATATGTCACTGCTTTAACACACACACACAACATTCTCACACACTGCATCATTCATGCCATTGACAAACATTCATGAGGATTTCTTCAAGAAACGTCCCAATACAGAACCTTCTGCAGACAACTGTATCATATCAAAGGGTGGTTAAGCAATTACATATGCTTCTTATATCAGACATTAATACAATATAACGAAGTGATTCTTAACTAGTAAGTTGCAACCCAAAAATGAGTGCAAGGTCAGTTTCAACGGGCTGCAAGCAGCAGAGAAAAACAGCAACAAAAAAAAATCCACCCATTTTAACTTAAAAAAATAAGTTGAGTTGCTGCCTTACATTTCAGAGTATGCTTTCAGGGTATGCTTTTTACATTTTCAGAGTTGCCATAAGTTGCTAACTGGTCATATTTTTTTAATTCTTAACTAGTCAATCAAAATTTTGTCTAATTTAATTTTCTTATTCATGCTAATACTTTTGCAATGCAATGCAATGAAATTAATACCGGCCAGGTCATTTAAAGTTAACTAAAGTTAAATAAAGTTAACTAAATAATTTTATTTTACTAAAGTTTAAATGGGAAAATGGAGACCAATATGGGTACTGATTAATTTTTATATTCAAAGTAAAATAAAATAAAATAAAATAAATATAAATAACCAATTTCTATTGGGCAGGTCAAGTTAAAAAGGTTCTACCACTGCACTGTAAACATAAGGCCTCATATTTTACCATCAATAACATCAGAAGAGATGCACTTCCACAAAACGCATTAATCGCAGCGTCTCGCGCAGCTCACAGCATGAAGCGACCTTTAGAGAGAATGTGTGTGTGTGTGTGTGTGTGTGTGTGTGTGTCTGTATATACGTACCATGCTGAGTAAACAGGTCGCTGTGGACGATGTCAATCATGCAGTTCAACTTCTGCTTCACCAGACGCCCCAGAGGAACTTTGAGAATAAACTCACTGAACAGCTTACTGCAGAGAGAGAGAGAGAGAGAGAGAGAGAGGGTCAGCACTGCTTTTAACTGCACAACTAGAACTTAGTTAACACTAACAGGTGTGTGTAAGAGTGTTTGCGCATGCCTCTCTTCTCATCTCTACTTGCTGTTGAAGTGACAGCTCATTTCTTAAACATGCTAAGTGCTGAGGGCTACACCTCTCTGTCCTCATCTCAACACACACACACACTCGAGCCCAGGGCACAACAGGAGAGCAGCGGCTCTTTTTGAGGAAAGAACTGGCACTTGAAGAAAGCGGGATGAGAGCGGTCTGGCAGACAATGACAGAATTCAGAGATGGCTTCATTCAGCATTTGTTTGGTCTGTGTGTGTGTGTGTGTGTGTGTGTGGAACCCGGAACCTCTCTGCTGGGCAAACACACTTCTGTCACAATGAACTCTGAGCAAACAGCACAATGATAACTCAGTGTGTGCTAACCAGGCCTCCAGTCATTTTTTTCTGTCCTGAATGATAGTCAAAAGTGCAAAACACATTTCCTGGAGCACCTGAACTGGCTCTTCCATCATTGGTCAGGCAAACAAAAGTCCCGTCCCCAACTATTACTCAGGATGCTTCCCGTTCAGAATCTGTGGTTTTACTTTTTGGGAGAATCAACAGATAAATGACTTCCTTACTTTTGTCTCTGCATATTAAACTGTGAAAAAAATACAAATAAAATAAAAAGAGATTATGTGATGCTTGCCATGTCCAACAGTGCCTTTTACTAGGGATGCACCGATACCGGTACCCTATACTGAGCTCCTGTACTCGTACTCGTTAAAATGCCCCGATACCAAACGCCGATACCACACAGCATGTGATAAGTGCCATATTCAGACAAAGAAACGACAACAGACAGCAGAACGGAGTTATTAAAGATTAAAGATGTCTACGAAGTATATGTATGCAATGATATAGCGAGTAAACTGTGATAATGTGAGAAATGTTGAAGGTGTCTGAATATATTTTGGTTTGACTGTATCTATTTGATAAATGAAGTTAACCAACTAACATTATACATACTCTTTTAGTTTCTGTACCCAATATTTTAAAAATTGACAAATGCAATGAAAATATTGGTATCGGTACTCGGTATCGGCAAGTACCAAAAATAAAAGTATCGGTATCGGGCGAGTACTGGAAAAAGTGGTATCGGTGCATCCCTACCTTTTACCCATTACTGTAATCATAGGAATGTAAACAGGAAGGAAAACAAACGGAAAGAGAGAGGTGAAGGAGGAAAGGAGGTGGAAAGAAAAGGGAGATGTAAAGGAAAAGCAAATGAAAAGAAAAAGTGAAAGAAACAGAAAATGAAAGAGAAAGGGAAAAGACAAGGTGAGAAAAAAGGAAAATGGGAAAAGGGAAAGAGGCCAGGTTTATTCTCTCAACCAGCTGTTAAATACACCATCAGCTACTGACCAACCCATATCAGCTGACCACTAGCTGTTCTTGGCTGTAACTAGTTTATATGCATGCACACAAGCATTCAACAGCTCTCAGTGTGAAACATCACTTATACAGCAACATCTGCAGCCAAACAACAAGAACACAAATTATTCAGGGAATCTAACAAGAATCCCGCTGCTACAAAATGTCACGTCTAGAAAAATTGGTTTGGTGAGGAAAGGCCGTCGTCAGCTAAACTTCTGAGAAGCAGCAGGATTCATGCCATCATCTCTCACCGTGTGTGTGTGTGTGTGTGTGTGCAGCAAATGTAGCCATCACAAGAACCGCCTAACTCCATTATAATGCCACTCAGGGAGGAACGCATTATCCAGACCAACAGACAGGATGGGCGAGTGACCGCCACATCTCCATGGCAACGGGATCACTTTGCGCTGATTGTGTGTTGAATCTAAAGCGTGCGAGAAAGACTCGAGCGGCAAAACGACACGGTAACTGTAATGACACATGAACAAAAGTCCATCAGGCAGAAAGATGTTAATGATGATCGGATTCAGTGTTTGAAACGTGTGTGAGGAGCATCAGACTGAAGAACTCCACTACTCAGACCTGATTTCATTAGCAGCCTCTCAGAGTCACTTAGATGGAGACAGACACAAGAGGAGAGACACGGGAGGAGATGAAAGGCATTAGGGAAGAGAGACGAGAGAGAGAGACTTGGGGAAAGAGAGACAGGGTGAGGATAACAATATTGGTTTTTGTTTGTGAGAGACACAGCATGTGGAAAACAGAAAACAGACAGGATGAGGATAGAGAGAGAGACAAAGAGAGTGAGACGGGACAGGCAGGGAGACATGAGGAGAGAGAGACAGGATGAGTGGCAATATTGAGCAGAGCGATATTGTATAAGTAAAAAACAAAAAGTAAAATAAGGGTAATTCTAAGCCGATACAGTTACTAGCCAGATGACATTAAACCTTTCAACAAAAAAATAAAATAAAATTTAAAAAATATATATATATATATATGATGTTTATAAAAAAAATTAAAATTTAAAAAATTAAAAATAAATAAAATACAATATAAAGTAAAAACTAAATACAATTAATAGCCGGGAGACACCCAAATTTCAACTTAAAAGGTTGAGGCAAGATGGACAACAATATCATTTGATTGTTTGTGTTTATTAATTTATTTTAATTTATTTATTTCAGAAGTGGAATTGCGTGTTTAAAACTCATAGACATTCACTCATATGATTATAAAAATAAAAATAAAATACAATTCAAATAAAATAATGGAATGAAACAAAAATTAAAATAATAAAATAAACAAAATAAAATAATTTGTTGCTCTTTCTTCAAATACACAATACTGCAAAACACTCACTTTTCCTTAAACTCATTATTTACTTTTGCCTGTGTGCAAACATGCAGTATTAAAACATTCTACTAACAACAACAGTTAATAAAAGTCTTCATTCAAAAAAGATAGAAACATGAACGATGTCTGATAAACTCACCTGAGCTCCTTTGGATCAAAGACCAGTTTCAGATCATTGACGATAGTCGGGACGTATTTCAGTGCAGCACCCTAGAATTCACAAACAATATATAATAGCATGATCAATGCTCTAAAAATCCTTTAAAACATGTTACATAAATGGAAAAAGAGGGGGGAAATCAGAGTCAGCTAGCATAAAAAAGCATTTTAGAGGATTGTGTTAATTTCTCCTGAATTGTGCTGTCCAAACTCTGTAAGGATGAACAATGAGGAATCGGAGTGACTTCACATTAAGAAACGACATGAAGGTGTCAAGAGCCTCATCTGATGATCATAGAGACACTGGCTGCTGAAATTTCTCATCTGTCCCTCTGCGCTCAGAGTTAATCCAGCTGTGCTGAACGGCCTGAGGAGCGAAAGATGAACCTCAAGATGGTCATAAAACACAAATACTAAAATACTCTCCAACACCCCGATCAATAAAGTGAGCACAGATGATCAATGAGCCATGAACACGCATGTTTCCTCCTCTAACTGACAAACGCTCATCTAGAAATCTGAGCTCTAACTTACTCTCAACCAACAAATGGTCCAAACAAGCAACTAACACTTATCATAATGCAATGCAATGATATAAATAAATAAATAAAACACAACAAACAATAGAAATTGTTCATTGCCTGAAATATACAGTGGGTACGGAAAGTATTCAGACCCCCTTAAATTTTTCACTCTTTGTTATATTGCAGCCATTTGCTAAAATCATTTAAGTTAATTTTTTTTCCTCATTCATGTGAGCATGTGATATTTCAGTTTTTTTTTTTTAATAAATCTGCAAAAATGTCAACAATTCTGTGTCTGTCAGTCAATATGGGGTGCTGTGTGTACATTAATGAGGAAAAAAAATTAACTTAAATGATTTTAGCAAATGGCTGCAATATAACAAAGAGTGAAAAATTTAAGGGGGTCTGAATACTTTCCGTACCCACTGTAAATAAATAAATGTCCAACTAAAGTTCATCTGAAAGTAAAATACATAGTCTGTAAAAATAATAATAATAAAGTTTCAGTATGTAAAATAAAATGTAAAAAAATTGAATAAATGAAAAAAAAAACATCTAAAGTTTAAGAATGTTAAATACAATGTCTAAATAATAAATATATTAATTAATTAATAAAATATAAATACAAACAAACAAGTTTCAGAATGTGAAATACAGCCGGTTTAAAAAAAAAAAAAGTTTGAGTGGAAAAAAAAATGTCTGTAAAAATAAATAAATAAAAAAAAAATAATAATAAAAGTTTCAGAATGTTAAATAAATAAATACATTTCCTCTATAAAACTAGTCAAATGTCCAGAATCTGTGAGAGTGACAGGTCAGTGTTGACACCTGTCAATCTAAAACACATCGATCACTACACAAGCAGATCTCAGCAGAATGGGAATGTCTACTGATCGGTTTCTCCAGTTGGTATAAATCTGTTTGGCTCTTCCAGTACTTACAAGGATATTGATCTTGGTGACCTCACCTGATTTTCCAAGAACAATATTCAATCAAATTTTAGGGTTGGGGCTTCAACAACCTTCTGGTTTGTATGAGTAGTTTCTATTGTCTTTGATAGAGTTTGACAGGAATCTTGTTCCAGGATCAACAACAGGAAAACGTTGGGAAGCTTTAAAACCTTGTTTAAGTAAAGACTCAACTCACAGCTTCTTTGTAAAACAGGTTTACTGCTATTCAGCTGATAAATGTCTGATTTTATTCTAGTCACACCTGAAGATGTGCGAGTCCTGAGAGTTTACAGATCTGGATTTATAGCAGCTCCTTCCTGTTTGATCCTCATCATGGTGTCGAATTCTGACGTACTTTGAAATCATTTAAAAGAAAAAAGAAAGCGTCTGAAAGCGGTGTGAACCAAGAGTCAACACAGGCAGTGACGGATGGGTTATGAAGTTTCCCATTTGATAAATATTCTCTTCCCAGCAGCCCACATAGCGTCTGATTTAACCTGAGAGTTCGCTGGGAAATGAGGTGTTGGAGTTCAAGTGTTTACTAAAAAAGTGAATATCTGAGGCCGTAACTTGCTTTTGATTTGATGTGTTTTGAAATTGTAACACACCAGTCAGGCCGAGAGTTTTACAGCAGTGACTTCACAGAAAGTTTGCCACTTTGCTGGAATACATCACACCGACTGGCCACATTTTAGGATGCTGGAGAGTTTGACTCACAATTACACATTTTCAAAGGACCGCACAAGCAACGCAAGGAAACAAAACAAAGTTATGGCTAAGAACTGATAAGATGGATTCAGTGTCACATGATCCTTCAGAAGAAACATTTCTGATTATTATCAATGTTGAAAACAGTTGTGCTGCTTCATATTTTTGCAGAAACCATGATACATTTATATTAGAATTGATGAACAGAACAGCATTTATTTGAAATATAATCTTTTGTAACATTATAAAAGTTATGTCACTTTTGACCAATTTTAAGCGTCCCTGATGAATAAAAGCATTAATTTCTTCAATCAATCAATCAATCAATCTCACTGATCCAAAATTTTTAAATGGTAGTGTATTTTTAAAAAGTGTCCTTGATGTGAGAAACAAACCAAAATTGTTTTTTTTTTAATCCACAACTGCTCTCAAATCTCATTCATGTTATTACATATTCAAATATACTGCATAAAGACATATGTCAGATAAATGAGTAATATTGAAGACCTAGTCACTAAATTTGCCCAAATTAGCAAGGTTAGAAGCATTAAATCTATGAAAGATCCTGAATTTTAAGACACAAGAGCAAGTCGACAGACTATAGATTAACATTAAACAAATTATTAATGACAGCAACTGTATGTTCCATTAGTTTGTGTTCTGACTCTTTATTAATTTCAATTTAATCACTTAATCACTTAATTATTTAATCAGTTTTAACTATTCTTAGAGACATAGAAAGGTCACACATTTTATGTCCCTAAATGGCACATAAAAACTAAAACTATAGTATGATTTATCTTAAGTAGAGTTTCTCTTGCTGTCTAAGTGGCCAGTTTTGAGCTTTGCAAAACTATGTCATGTTTGACATAAATTATGCCAAATTTCATTGCTTGTCATATCTCATAACTGATTAAGAAGCAACAATTATGAACATATGGGTGTGCAAATGCATTCTGAGAGGGGATTTCATAGCAATCAAATCAGATTTTTCCTCTCATAAAGCTTCATATGACTTGAATATATCATACGGATGTCCTTTGTCGACCTTTGTTGTATGTAAAAGAGCAGCATGAACATTTTGAGAAACATCTCCTTTTGTGTTGCATGTGTGAAATTAAGTCACACCAGGAGCAGATGAGTAAAAGTTTAAGTTTTTCTAAACTTAATGCCCTATTAACGCAGCGCTTAAACATCCAGCTCATCAGAAACCGGTTCCTAGAGCGTTCTCACCTTCACCCCGCCGGTCCCTTCAGCACTGCTGTTCATCATGCCATTAAACGAGACAAAGAGATTCCTCAGGGACTCCATGAAATCACTCTCGCCTTTGTTCTCGTAGAGCCTGAAGGAAAACACACAAACAGCAGATGATCAGGGGCTCGAGCGGCGAGAATCATTTAATCTAAATCATCAGAGAGGCAGCAGATCCATGACATCAAACTAGCCGGAGCCATATAAATCCACATCAAAAACAATATCTCAAACTCCACATACACACACTCCCACCTGTTCACTGGCACCTCTAAACTAGCTCCTGATTACAGGCTGATCAGATTGATGAATTGCTTCGCAATCTAGTTTGAAGGGCAGAGAGCTGACGGGCCGTCTCGGCGTCGCTCCAGAGCGCCACACAAACACCAGGAAAACATCTCCTTTTGTGTTGCATGTGTGAAATTAAGTCACACCAGGAGCAGATGAGTAAAAGTTTAAGTTTTTCTAAACTTAATGCCCTATTAACGCAGCGCTTAAACATCCAGCTCATCAGAAACCGGTTCCTAGAGCGTTCTCACCTTCACCCCGCCGGTCCCTTCAGCACTGCTGTTCATCATGCCATTAAACGAGACAAAGAGATTCCTCAGGGACTCCATGAAATCACTCTCGCCTTTGTTCTCGTAGAGCCTGAAGGAAAACACACAAACAGCAGATGATCAGGGGCTCGAGCGGCGAGAATCATTTAATCTAAATCATCAGAGAGGCAGCAGATCCATGACATCAAACTAGCCGGAGCCATATAAATCCACATCAAAAACAATATCTCAAACTCCACATACACACACTCCCACCTGTTCACTGGCACCTCTAAACTAGCTCCTGATTACAGTCTGATCAGATTGATGAATTGCTTCGTAATCTAGTTTGAAGGGCAGAGAGCTGACGGGCCGTCTCGGCGTCGCTCCAGAGCGCCACACAAACACCGGGAGGATTCCTGCGCTCACGCTTTCATTAAACGCTCACCGGCGGCCTTTGCTGATGAGATTAGCGCCAGCTGATTTTCTGTGCTCTGCTTACGGTGAGGGTCAGACATTCTCAACCTCATCCTGAGTGTCAACATTAGACCGGCCCTCCAACAACACACAAACACACGCTTAGCTAATAGCCCGTCAAATATACCGAAATATTCTTCACGCTCCAGCTGACCAGTGCTTTATACCCATTAATTACTACAGCAAAGGGGAGATATGGTAGAATTGCATTATTTTTAATCAGTTTAAAAACAGTTGGGGTTAAATATGCCAAGGTCATATGTAACCCCAAAATCAAACGAAAAATAAGAAATTATATTTTGCAAAAATCAGTCAATCAACCAATCAATCAATCAAAATAAATTAATAAATAAATTATAAGAAATGTTGAGGTCTTATTTAACCACAAAATCAAATAGAAAAATAAGAAATAATATTTTGCAAAAATAATTAAATAAAAATAAACAAACAAACAAACGGTCAAGAAATATTTAATAAATAAGAAAAAATTTATTTTGCACAAGTTACTCATGGTCATATTTCACCACAAAATAAAAAATAATTCATCATGGTAGTATGACATACATACATACACACACGCATACACATACACATACACATATATGAATGATTCTTTTTAATTTTTTTGGATGCTGGTTTAAAAGTCATCAGAATCATTTGAGTGAGAATAATGCAATAGAAAGATCCTGAGCAGGGCTGCAGTAAACTTTGAAATTGATGAACATTTGATGAAACCGTGTATAGACAGTTTTCCTGTCTGACACTGATAGCTATTCAAACTTACGATAATTGTTATTTTTGGCCATATTTCTCATCATTTCCATTGCAGTCTGCAGCCCTGTCTAGCTGATCTCTGACTCTGAGACGTGTGCGGTCAGGTCGGGCATGAGTTGGTGAACACCGGCAGCAGGTCGAGACTGTGAGCGAGCAGCGAAGTCAATCAGATCAGACTCTGCTCATTAGTGTCTCTCACAGCGCTCTGCGGTGTCAGGCGCTCTGAGCGTTCAAGTAGTTAAAGGACTGAGATCGTCTGCTCAGACGGGCCTGAGAGACAACATCATATACTTCACCTGCAGACAACAAGCTAATCACCAGTGCTGAACTTAATTTAGGCTGAGTCATTACTCAACATGTCCTCCGTCTCCCTAAATCAGCACCGCTGCCCATTCCACTTCCTGTCCGCCTCAAACACATCCTCCATCCGTTAGGAAACAAGGGTACTTCGGTTTGATGAAGGTGTGGCATTTCAGATCTGCCCATTAAATCAACCCGTCACATCTCTTAGCCGTAACTGCAGCTTATTGGCTGGGAAACACATTACGAATTTTTTTTTTTTTTTTTTTGCTAGCACCAATATAAAATCACAACATTTTCATTTTTATATTTCTTAATGGCCATCAATGGATAATGGTGCTTCTAGCCCCCAAAGTTCCTATTGCCAAAGCAAGTCAACCTAACATAACCTTCCCTGGTTCAGACTACAAGCACAACTCCACGGATTTAGGCATGATGTGCTTAAAGCTCAGATGTGAGATGAATACAACAAAACATGAGAGATCTGAATGTGAAGGAAGAACATACTGGTTGAAGAGAACGCGGGATCTCACGATGAACTTGAAGATGTACTCCAAAGCCTTCAGAGCTTTCAGCAGCTGCTCCGTCAGCTTCTCCGCATTATCCACGTAGTTCTTCAGGACTTTTGTCAGCTTTCTGAAAACATATCCACACACAAGCTGTTACAAATCAAAACAAGGCACATACTAACACAGACACGCAGAATTTGCTACTCACGTGTAGGCGAGGGTGGCGCTGAAGTGCTTGCGGATGTAAGTCTCCAGAACAGGATTGAAATGATGGAACTTCCTGTCTGCGATCAGTCCGATTATGAAGACCTTTCAGAACCAGATCACAAAAACAAACCTGTGTGTGTGTGTGTGTGTGTGTGTGTGTGTGTGTGTGTTTTTAATAAATGGATTATAAATAGATTATGGTCCCTTCAAGTGGTAAGAATATTAAACTAATCATTCTCATTTAAAATGAGACTGAAAATAATAAGATGACAAAGACACAAGATAACGAATATAAAATAAATAAACACATAAAGACAAACAATTAAATGAAAAAAATTAAAAGCTTTAATAAATAAAATAAATAAATAAAAAAGTGAACAATTAAATAAAAGAAAATAATTAAAATGAAGCAAAAAAAATAAAAACAAAATACAAATAAAAATAAATAAATTATACAAATGAAAAACAAATAAACAAACAAATAAATACACACTTAACTAAATAAAACCAATGAACAAAAACAAACAAATAAACATTTGTAACAAAGAAATAGATGTTAATTTTGTTTATATATACACTAAAAAACATCACTAATACATGTGTAACCACGAAATGACAAATATTATCAATTTTCCCTGAGAAGAACATACTGTATATAACTAAGAGCAAAGTGTATTATATTGCATTATGAAAACAAATGCATGATTCATGTTTCTGGAAAGTGTTGCCAAGGATCTTTTTAAAGCACATTGCACTATAAACCCACTCACACACACACACTTTGAGGTTTATAAATAAGATTGTTCACACATTAGCTCCATTTCTGCACTTACAAATTCAGAGTGAAAACTCATTTAAAAGCTGTAATGCTCCACCTGAGGACGAGCGCGGGTGTTTGTGTTTGGCACATCTGCTGCATGGCCTTTGGTTACAGTCACTGCGAGGAGAGGAAGAATGTGCCCTTGAGGGGAAATAAATAAACGCTCACACTAACGGCATTCAAGCTGCCCCGTATATTCAGGACAGAACAGGTCGCAACAGATACGAAAGTCTAAGTCTATAACAGTCATCAATCTATCTTCAGTCTGAGTGTTAAAGGTGCCTCGCTCACATCAGGTGTACACACATAACTCAGAAAGCAATCAAAAAATTAAAAAAGTGCAAAAGATGGAGGAAGAGAGAACATTATTCTAATGAAAGGACAGAGATGATTCATGGTGGAGATGATTCTTCCTGAGAAGAGCAAGTTTGCTTCGGTCGTGCAAAGTTAATATTTATTAGGATATTTGTTCACTGAGCTGCAGGCAATGGAAATGTGAACTAATGCCAATTTAGAATTTAGCGATTCAGGTTCTGAACTTAAGGTTGATGATTCTTCTTGATTCCGTCGAGAGTGTGAGTCTTGTTTTGAGTCTTGATTCATTTGAATCATAAGAATAATTTGTTTGTGAGTCACACTGTACAATGTGAACTATGTCATGTTCATTCTGGCATGAACGTTGAGGACATTGGAATATAAAGATGTTGTCGATTATTTCTATATTACCGTATTGGCCCGAATATAAGACGACCGCGTTTTTTCAGATGTATTTCCAAGAAAAAAATATCGTCTTATATTCGGGACAATATGGTATTTCATGGCTTTCCTTCTTACATTCAATTCAGACAAATCAGCTAAAATAAAAGTAAATGATTCAGTGGTGAAAAGAAAGACAAGTCGTATAATTTGTATTGCATAACAAATGCTATCACTAATTATAACAAAAATGTTTCATAAATAAATAAATATTTACAAATTAAAAATATTTATTTATCTTAATTATAAAAATAAAACCGTATACAGTACAAAAAAGTAATTAAAAAACAACATACAGACTTTCTACATCAACATATTTTAATTATATATGTATTTTATAAGCCTTATTTATTTTATATCTTATTTTAAGTATTATTTCTATAGTATTATTAAATAATTTTGCCCCAAAGTCATGTCAAGTTCCTCCTCAGATGTTCTGATAGAAGGTTTCATCCTCCAAATGCCAGATAACAAATAAACCGGGAGTAAAAGCTTCTTTTAAAATTTGCGGTGCCCTTGAATCTTTCCGCAGATGTTTTCTCCAGTGTGTTTATAGTGAAGTGAGTGATCTGGGCGGATTCCTGAAGAAACCCCTATCACAAGCCATTCTGCAGCATTATTACGACATTCACAGCTTTTATGCAGCACGTCTGTGCCGTCCGCAGAAATCCAATTCCAAACTTGGCAGTGGTAGGAAGGTGTTTTAGTACACAGAGTGAGGAAAGTACATAATCATGTTGATTGGGACGCCTGCAGGAAACATTAAGGGAAGTCTGTATGTCTGTCGCTCTGGGTGGTGAGCGCAGAATTATTCACAGTGCGGTCTGGCCAAAAGACGCACTGCCATGTGATCGTCTGTGTGTGTGTGTGCGCGTGAGAGAAACACACATACTGTAATTGTAGGTAGTCCTGTGAGTGTGTATTCTGCACATTAACAGTTGTTTGAATTAACAGCTTCCTTCAGGCCACCCAAGTCAACTTTCATGTTTAAACACACCTCAGATTTCAATAGTTTTTGTGTAGTTGAGGAAATTTTGCAATATATCTGTGGTTGTGCCTTGTCCCAAATTAAAACTACTTCTTACACATACTGTAAAAAGATGACGGTTCCGATTCCACATACTGATTACAGTATTTATTACAACAAATTAAATCTAATAATTTGAACAATCAGTGACGGGGTTGATTTAAATCTCATAAATTTTGTATCAGGGCTCCTCCATTGAATTATTGTAAATAATTTGGAAATATTTTAAAATGGAACTTTTATTTTATGTTTCATATAAAATTGGATTGGATGGATGGATGGATGGATGGATCAGTAATCCATTACGGATGGATCAGTAATCCATTACAGATTACAGTAAAGAGGTTATATTATTGTATTATTATAAATGATATTATATTATTTATTATTAATTATTATATAATATGTTATTTTAATAATTAAATAATTAAAGATAATTAATTAATTAATGTACAATAGTATATTTATAAAAGTTAAAAGTAAACTAATGTTAACCAACCCAACTGTATTGTACTAAGTTTTACCAAGTCAACTTGAAACGTTTGCAAGACTTTTGCTACATACATCAAGAAGTAAAGCGGTGAAGGTCTTCAGCAGCTATCTGAAACACCTGCCATATGGTTCTGCTTGGCTGTTTTATATTTATGTGGCAGAGACATGACAGAAAGGCTGCAGAATCTGTTAGAGAGGTGAAGGGGACATTTACAGCACACGTTTCTGCCTCCATCTTTCTCTCTCGGCGCTGACAGCTCGAGTGTGTTTGCCATCAAACACGGCCAGAGAAATCACTGCATGAGACACACCACCTTCAGGAGTTAACTGGCATTCAAACACATGATCCATGAGGGAAAAGTAACTAAATCAACAGAGCTCAGCCTTATCTCAGAGGGGCTTTTAAATCGTATGCTGAATTATATTAGCCATGTGAATATAAAGCTCTACAACAGACAGAAATCACTAGACATTCAATGACTGCGGTTCCAATTCCACTTACTGATTACAGTATTTACTAGAACAAAAATCACTCGATTCTGAATGTGTACTTTTAATTACATGAACAACCAGTAACTTGGTTATATATACAAACAGTTCATTGGTTACTCCAATGAATTTTATTTTCAATAATCTGACTTCCAGGCCTGGAAAACAACTGAAACATTTCCTGAACATTTCGATTTCAAACCTTAGCAAGCTTATTTTGAGTTAGATATGATGAAAGTAATGACTTGAGTTTAGTGAGTGAGATCATTTAAAGTGATAACCGAGACTGATTCTCGACACTTTCTGACCAATTAATGAAAAAAAAGTCTGTACGAGTTATTTGTTCAAATCACACAACAACTTTCATTTCATTTCATTTCATTTCATTTCATTTTATTTTATTTTATTTTATTTTAAGCCTGGAGAACACAATTTAAACATTTTCTGAATGCTTATTTTGAGTTAGATATAATAAAAGCTTATTTTGAAAATTTCTATAATTTCACAGGCCTAACCATACACCGTACTGGAGCACTTACAGAAATGCAATTTCTAAAAATATATCAGCATGTTTTGCTGTTGCCTTCCAAAAAACCTAATAAGCAAAAAGCTTTTGAAGTGCATCAGAGAGTTCATTCACAATTTCGTATCATAAATCAAAGCGCAAGTCTCCACACCAACTTCAAACGTTTACATTAGCAGCATGAATGTCTGCATGAATCCAAACGGAGGTCTGAATGAAAGCTGCAAGTTTGTGTTTCTGTCCGTCAGAAGATTCACACATACCTTGACCACCTCGCCTCCCTCCACTTTCATCAGATGACAGAGATTCTGCTGGAGCAAACTGGTGTTGGATCTCCACTTCAGCAGCCCCAGGAGATCAACTACAGGAGAGCAGAGAAAAAACGCATTTGCACATTCACCTCTCCATCCTGGACATGAAACATTCATTATATAGAGACATATGAATAACATGAGCTCTCGTCTGACCGGGCAAGCCTTAAGCCATGAGAGGAATGGATTTCACTGCAGTTATGATATAATAGAAGAAAAAGAAAATCTGGACAAATATGAAGCTATTAAGCGGTGTATTAATCAGTGTTCATGGATTAACCAAACAGATTCACCCACAATGATTCATGAGGTCACAAACGCTCTTTAAGTGATTCTTAATTTCTCTCCTCCTTCATTGGATGAATCAGACTGTTAAAGTGGGGAACTCTGGGAAACACTCTTGGGGACTGGAGGATACGGAGAGTTTTACAGTTCAGCCGGTTCCCTTGAGGACTCTCATCACCGCCTGAGCGGCTCCCATAGTGATAGTCATGGCAACAGGAGCGACTGACTCTTTAACCTGAAACGAGGCATTCCAGCAATCACTTGAAAACAAACCAAAGTGAAATGACGTAACCTGGTGAGAGAAGATTCTTCCAGGGCTGTGTTTTGAAGAGCCGTCATAGACAGAGATTGACACAAACCTTGGTCTAAGTAGACATCATATTTCAAATAAAAACAAAATTAGAAGTTTTGTTTATATTGTGGTTATAAATAAATGTAAAATAATTAGTATTTTCAATCAATTTAATAATAGTAAATTTTATAAATTTAATTATACATTGTATTATAATTATAATGCAAACAAATATATAAATCAAATTTCTACATTTTTTGTAAAATTTATTAATGTTATGAAATATATTAGTCTCATTGTCACTTAATATTTATTAAGAATGTGTATTTTTCTTTATATAATAATACTAGTAATAATAATAAAATTTAGAAATGTATAATTTAGATGTATTACGATACATACATATATATGTGAGTGTGTGATTTGAACATATAATTATACATTGTATCATAATTATAATGTTACATATAAATATATAAATAATATATAATAATAATAATATGAACAATAATAATAGCTTTTTATAAGTTTATAATTTAGATGTATTATGTATATACACACAATATTTATATTTAACATTATTTGTAGATTGTGTTTTAAATAATTGTAGATTTGAACAATCAATAGAATTTCATAACCTTTATGCAAATCTACTAACATATTTTTAATTATTTAAACGAATCAAAAAGAAACCATGCACTGAACTAACTTAATGTTATTTGGCCAAGACAAAATGTCCAGTCAACTGGTCGTACTCGCAAAATAAACCCCAACACGTGATCAGGACCCTGACACTTACTGTTGCCTGATCAATTATGTGGTTAAACATTAATGAAACAAAAATAAAATGCCACGACTGACCAATCAGAATCAAGTATTCCAGGGAGCTGCATAATACATAACTAAGGCAGAGGATGTGATCAGAAGAAGAGCGGAGGCTGTGATTTCACTTCATCGTATCACATCAGCAGGAAGTGTGGCTGTGTGGGAGAGACGATTCAGAGTTAAAGATCCTGACACTTACAAGCTCAGCCTGTGTGTTTAATAAAAACCACGTCAGAGAGACAGAAAGAGCTGTCAGGCAACGAGTGAGGAGAGCGGAGCTGTCATTCTTTATTAAAAACGGCTCATGCCTCGGTCCTATTGGTCGAGAGGCGCTTGATCATCCGGGAAATGTGCTTCACAAACCAGGATGCAAAAATAAAATATCTAAACAAAACCTGAGTCATAAACAGCTCTCCTGCATGTCGCATCGATTTCTACCTGCTTTTCTGACACAGAAACCAGAAATAGTTGGTGTAGAGGGGCCATGTTTGGATCTTCCAACCGGACAATAATCCAAACACAAACCTCAAAAACAACGCAAAAATGGGTCACCGAGCACAAAACCAAACTTCTGCTATGACCATTCCAGTTCCCTGACCTGAACCCTATAGAAAATGAGTGTGGTGAACTGA